CAACAGGTGAGACGAGTGTGGAGGCATGTAGAGAAGAATAATATTCTTCTCCTTGCAAAGATCTTGAAATTCGATAGAGCAGTGGCTCTCATGGCCGTTAATAATAAGTAGTCAATACCCACCTACAGTAGAGCTCTTTGTATGGGTATTAAAGTGCTCTAACTAGGCAAGACTAAGCTAATTATTCGTCCAGCTATTGGGACTAACTTTAAGAACCTAGTTAGCAGGCAAATTCTTAAACTAGACGTTAATAAGCACCTTGCCCGCAAAGACAACGAACAGTGGTATCTAGCGACCCAACGCGCCCACGCCTTAGATCACAGTAACCCACTCACGGTTGCCTAGCTGTATCCGCTTCTTTTTCTTATATCCTTCTAATGCTATAATTAACAACTATAATAAAATCTTGCCTATTATAAAGCTAGTTTCGTTAAAGTTGTAGATATCGTCGTCCACAATACCCTACTTCTGCCTTGTCGCCTGGACTAAGTCAAACCAGCGCTGGATAGCCACTGGGTCCTCGCAGGCGGCTCGCTGGTGATTATAGGGACGGCTCTAGCGCGTACAGAGCTTAGCAGTCCGCCTAATAAAGTTGTTAACCTAATTCTTGCTAATAGGGTTGCCACTACGCTCCTCTAACAGTTTATTGGCTATTGCTTGAACCTTAGCCTTTGTAAGGGCAAATCCACGCGCAGACTCTTTAAAAATACGTCTAATAATAGCCTCCTCTTCTAACTTATTTAGGCGCTTTGAATTTAGTTTATAGTCGCGTCAGGGGCGCTTTCTAGCCTGTTAATTAGATATTGTACTTTAAGGCACGTTATAGATAGAGGTAGCGTGTCTTTAGCTTTAAACACGTTATAATTAGATATTAAAAAGAGTAAGTTAAAGATCTAATTTAGGATAAGTTAATTAATAGTTGTGTTGTTAAGACATAACGCGTTGTAGTATTAACGTCGACGCGCTAGTGGGGAGTGACCGACTCGCTTGGGTGACCGACTCGCTTATGAACCACGGTACTATATAAAGTTACTACTAAAATATAAATAAACAAAAATATATATTATAACTTACTTAATACTCTTATTATAAACCTTATAATAATAGCTTTTATATAACGTGTTTCACCAGTAAGCGGGCCACCCCAGTATGTAGGCCACTTCCCTATGATATCCCACCTTTGCAACAACAACGCGTAATGTCTTAACAACGCAACGCGTTAAAAACTTATACTAAAGCAGATCTATTTCTTGCTATTACTAATCTTAATTCTAAACAAATTTAGAGTAAACGACGCGCTGCTGCCGCCTATAGCGTCCCATAAACAACAATCTAGCGTCGACAAGCTAGATAGCGCCCTTAAAGCGATTAGGAGCTACTAGTAAGGCGCCTAACAAAACTAGAAGAGGAGGCTATTACTATGCGTGTAATAGTCGAGGCTGAGCGAGGACTACCCTGTGGGAAAGACGACGTGCGAGATATAGCCAACAGACTGCTCTAAGAGCGTGGCGGGAAGGAGGTGGGCAAGAACTAGGTTGATAGGTTTGTCTAGCGCAATTTTGAGCTGCGTACGCGTTAGAGCTGTCCATACGATCACTAGCGAGCTCTCTGCGAAGACCTAGCGCTTATTAAGGGCTAGTTTGAGCTAGTTTAGAATATAAAGGCAAAGTATGGTATCGTAGACAAAGATATCTATAACTTTAATAAGACTAGCTTTATTATAGGCAAGATTTTATTATAGTTAGTTATCACAAGCTTAGACAAACTAGAGAGAACAAAGAAGATCTAGCTAGGCAATTGTGAGTGGGTTACGCTGATACAAGGCGTTGGCGCAACAGGCACGCGTATCCCAGCGTTTCTTATCTTCGCTAGCAAGGTTCTAATCTCTACCTAGTTCATAGAGGATCTGCCACGCGACTAGGTGATCTAAGTTAGTCCTACCAGCTGGACGAACAACGATCTAGCGCTTGACTGGCTTCGTCACTTTAATTCCCATGCGCGGCCTGTGGGGACGCATAGGCTGCTTATTATTGACGGCCATGAGAGCCACTGCTCGGTGGATTTCCGAGATCTCTGCGAAGAGATGAAGATAATCCTCCTTTGTATGCCTCCCCACTCGTCGCACCTCTTACAGCCTCTTAATGTGGGCTGCTTCTCGCCGTTAAAGCGCGCGTATAGTGATGCTATCTTAGTCTTAGCACGCAATCGCATCTACTATATTAGCAAAGAAACCTTTCTACTAGCGTTTAAAAAGGCTTATTATAAGGCTATTACACTAGAAAATATCCGCGGAGGGTTCTAAGGTGCTGGACTTTTACCGCACGATTATAACGTTGTTTTATTACAGCTTAACGTCATGCTGCGTACGCCAACTCCACTACAGTGCCCGTGCACCAGATGAGCACCATCGCCAGTTGAGCACCCCCACCACCACAACAAAACTTCAACGCGTCAAAACTCAACCAATATGGACCTGATTCAAGAAGCGATTGCAGAAATCGAATTGCGAGAACCAGGAGATAAATTCTCGTATCAAGCAATCGCGAAAAAGCATGGTGTAGCACGAATGACGTTGATGAGACGACACCGCGGCGAAACTGAGGCCTATGGCGTGCGCAACCTCTCCCTCCATCCACAACACGAGAAGGAGCTTGTACGATACATCGATACGCTTACCGAACGACGTTTGCCACCTACGAAGGAAATGATACAACGCTTTGCTTCAGATTTGGCTGGAAAGCCGGTTTCAGAAAGCTGGGTTGACCGGTTCATCCGCCGGCACCCCAACCATCTCATCTCTGCCCACAGCAAGGGGATGAGCAAACTTCGTTGCACGCCGATTCAGGAGCCAAGTACAGCTTGTATTCAAGCTTCTGGTTGAAAGATAGAGGAGTACAACGT